GAAGCCGGAGACAGAGGGGGGCTGCCTCGGGAGGGGAGGGGGTCGGGATGTCCGTGGGGTCGGGTCGGGTCGGCTTCGCACAGCCCAGCCCGCTTGGTGTTGGTTTGGGTTTCTTTTTCAATGCCATGTCTAGGAAAGTCTTAATTTGGGAGAGCGAGAGGAAAGCTGAGTTTAGCGAGACCAAGGTGAAATTCAGCAGGAATTACGGCCGCGGTTACCTGCGCTAGAGGTCGAACTGTGTTTCGGCTGAGAGTGTTTAAAAATAACGATTAGGTGTTTACTCCAGAATAATCAAATCATTAAAAAAAAAAAAAAAAAAAGGAAAAGAAAAGATGGATTAGAAAAGAGAAAACCCAAAGGTGGTGCCTACGAGGCGGCTGTGTTTCCAAGGAGCGGTGGCAGATGAGGAAAGCGCAGGTCCAGAGTCCCGCAGAAGCCCCGGAGTCTCGGCCCGACCTCGGGGTTCACCCTGTTCGCCCCGGGGCGAGAAACTGAGGCCGGGAGCTCCAACAGCGCCTTGAACGGCCACTTCAAGCTAAAAGGCTTCGCCTCGCCGTGTTTTTACACGCCTTAATTATTCCCTAATAATGCGGGCTTTGGGGAGAAGCACGTGGGAAGTTTGGGGCTGACTGGGAAAAAAAAAAAAAAAACAACAAACCAAACCCAAAACACAAACGCCAACACCAAAACCCCCAAACCATCCCCAGGCATCACCCCGCGGAGCTGGTGCCCTGGGAGCCGCTGGCTCTTTCTCCCCACAAGCAGCCAAAAGGCTTCAGGTGCAGAGGGAGATGGGTGCGGGGCGGGCTGCGGGAGAGGTCGGCGGGTCAGGGGGATAATGTGGTGCGAGCCCCCAGCTCCAAGGGCCGGAATGTCCCGGTGTGGGTCTGTTTGCTGTCCCGGTATGTGCCTGTACTGTGTGTAAGAGGATGAAGGCTCGGGGGGTGCCTCCGTGCCCCCGTGGACGGGGGTTTCCCTGCAAGGCGCGGCTGTAGATGCCGAAGGAGGGAGGTTTTTCCCGCTCCGTTTCCCCCATAAACTGATCCCAACCCCGCCGTCCCGGCGCCTCCAGCACGGATCCGCCCGGCCGGCTGTCCCTCCGGGCCGCGGTGACAGGGACCGGGGTGACAGGGACCGGGGGGGCAGCAGGGCGGTCTCCACAGGGTGCCACGGCTGCTCGCCTCCTCCGTGCCAAGCGCCAGCGCCTCGAGGCAATCGCCACATCAGACCATTTCCCCTCCCGAGACAACAAACAGCCGACCCGTCCGTCCGTCCGTCCATCCCTCCGCCTGTCCGTCTCTCAGCCGCGGACAGGGCAGCGCGCTGCGGTCACCGGTGTGCAGGACCCCCCGCCCCGGCTCTCCCGGCAGCAGGACCTGCAGAAACTTGGGGGCCGCGCCCTGCCTCCTCCCCCCGCGCACACACGGGCACCCTGAGGGGCTTGGGGATCGCCCCATTTTGGGGGGCACACGTCTGAGCGCGGCCCAGACCCCGCTGCCCACCGGGGGCTGCGACTCGAGCTCCCACCCGGGACGGTGTGTGTGTTCCTGCAGACGCGCGGCTGCTAAATTTCAAGCATCTCCTCTATATTTTTAATAATTTTTTTTAACTTTTTTTTTCTTTTCCTTTCTCCCAAGCCCTCTTTCTACCTTTCCAAAATCGTTTCCCGGTGCAATCCTGCAGCCTGAGGCGAGGGAGGAGGCGGGATAGTCCCCGCTTCCAAGACTTTTTACGAACAATCGTTAAAGAAATCAACCTATTTTTTTTTTTTTTTTTTCCTTTTTTTTTTTTTTTTTCCCCTCCTCTTCCCCTTGTGCGGAGGCCGGAGAGGTCCCTTTGATCTGCGAGGCCTGGCATGCTCCGAGCCCGCACGCCGGCTGTGTGCGGGGAGGGGGCCCGGCCGCTGCGGGACCCCTCCGAGCCGGGACATGAAAGGGGGAAAATGAGGAGGAAAAAAAAAAAAAGAGTAAGAAAAAAAAAAAAAGGGCGTCCAGGGTACGGGAGATCGACCGAAGGGCTTAAATATTTCATATTCCTGGAAGCTGTCAAGGCCAAAAACAACAACACGCCTCCCGCCTCCCCCGGAGTGTTTGCAGAGGGCAGGAGCGTGTGTGCGTGCGAGGGGCCGGGAGGCTGCGGGGGGTGTGTGTGGGGGGGAAGAGGGTCATAAATTTTCACTTGTAATCAATCAATAATTAACTAATAGCGGAGCGTGGGCCGAGCGCGCCGGCGACGGCGGGTGCCCGCCCCGACGGGGTGTCGCTGTCGCTGTCCCCCCTCCCCGGGTCGCTGCGGCTCCGCGGTGTGTGTCGTCCTTTAACCCCCCCCACATCCCGACGGTGCGGCCCCAGCACCGCTTTCCCAGAGACTTTGGACTCGGGGCTAAAAACTCCCGTGGGTAAAACCTATCTGAGCTCCAAGCGAAGCCTGCGGGGAGCTCCGCCGCGCTGCCCGGCCGGGGGTCGGGGTGGGATGGGGGGGGGAGGGGGGGTTGTCGCGGCCCACCACCCCCCCCCCCCCCCCCCCCCCCCCCCCCCCCCCCCCGGCCGGTCCCCCCCCCCCCCGGCCCGTGGGTCCCTTGGGGGGGTCTCTCGGCGCTGCCCAGGCTGCCCGAGAGATGGCGCCGGCGCCCCGCCGGAGTCCCCCCCCCCACCCCGCCGCCGGCCACCCCCCACCCAGCGCCGGGTCGCCTGCATCAGCCATAAAACCATTGAGGATATCAAGACAGGCGCCAGGTGAGTAATAGACAGGATAATCCAGAGAGATTGCTCGCTGTTTACCTCCATCCACAAGCGCCACAAGAGTTACTCATTAACGTTACTATATACAAATAAGATACACAGGAGATAAAGCCATTTGCAAGTCAGAGTTACACCTGCGGTACACGGATTTCTTGCAAGGGCATGGCGGAGGGGGAGGTCAGCGTCAGGCCCGTGGAAAGAGGAGGGGGTTTAAATGAATCACGCTGCACCCTCAGCCTTAAAAAGAGAATAAACCGTGAGCTCGGGTTTTGCGGCGCCCCGGGGCTGCCGGTGCCCGCCTGGCCAGTGGAGCGGCTACCGGGCTCCTGGGCCGGCAGGAAAGCGAGACGAGGAAGGAGGGGATGTGGATCAGTGTGTGTTGCTTTCCTCTGAATATCAACAGCAAATTTAATCGCCGACTAGGAAATTTTTCCCCTCCGCGCACAGAACACAACAGTCCTCCCCTTCTAAGAACGATCAGGGAGACCAGCGGCTGTGGCGAGGGAAAAAAATAAAGGTTCCCCCCATCATTCCTGAAGCGAAGGGGCTGCGGGGGTCTGGCGTGGAAAGGTGTGTCCGAGCTGCCGCTGAGGCCGGAGCTCAGAGCAGAGGAGAGAGCTGAGCGCCGCAGCAGCGATGGTTGTGCCGCCCGGAGGGGCTGGCAGAGCTCTGCTCGCCCCGGGGCCGGATTGCCCCTCCCGGAGAGGCTCCAGCTCCCACCCGCGCGTGTGTGGAAACCGGCCTGTGGGTCTGCAGCCTTCGGGGCTGGCTGCTGCAGCCGCTGCCTCCTTCTTCGGGTGGACTTTTTTTTTTTTTTTTTTCATTTCTTTTGCCAGACCTGACGCCACCTCTATCCCTAAAAGCCCCCTCCTCGCCCGGGCCAGCTGAGGGGAGCATCAGCTCAAGTGACATTTCCAGCAGCCATCACCTTGGGCCATCCCAGGGTGGGGGGAAGAGGGAGAGAAAAAAATCCTGCTCAACCCAAGCCTTTCCCCCGCTGCAAGCACCGTGGATTTAAAATACACCCCGACCCCCAAGTTGAAATGGGAAAGGTCCCGTTCTCCCACCAAGGGGGACCCGAACCTGTGATGGTCGCGGGGGGATTTTTTAATTAAAAAATTGAGGGGGGAAAGAAGCTTTATCGCCACTTTCTCCTCCCTTTATCTCGCCGGCGCAGGAGTCGGGGGCCGCGGGCCGAGGGGCAGGCAGAGCATAAAACAGGATACGGGCTGGAAGTACATCCTTATAATATTTATTACTGGCGGAGGATGAATCACTTTCCAATATACGGGCCACTAACTGTTGAAGGGATGGGGGGGAAAAAAAATCTCATTAACAAGAAATATATATGTTCTGCTAAATGATGTGCTCATGTGGACTGGCAAAAGTACAGGCAGGGGCTGCCAGTTCTCCTTAGTTCTCCTCTCAGTGACCTCCCAGGCCACTGGTCCAGCCCGAAACCTGGATGTCTGTCCCCGTTTCAGCCATTTTCTAGCTTAATCTCAATATATCATGAGCCTGAGGGCGAGAAGAGGCGATTCCAATAGAGGGGGGAGGGAATAAATTAAAAAAAAAAAAAAGTATTTTCTGGTGATAACTAATGGAAAAGCCAAATCCTCTGCTCGGACAGGAGAGAAAAGAGCCCAGCAACACCATCAACTCCTGAGCACTCTACCTGGAAACTCTGAAGGAGGGCTCTGCATTAAAATTTAACTGATCTATTCTCTAATTCTTCACTTTTGCGTTATTAATTTATGACAGATAAAAGCATAGCTGAGCCTTTCTCATTAACTTTTCAAACGCCACTTAATATTGTTCCATTAAAAGAGGTGACTTTAGTAGCCTCTGGATCGACTTTAAAAGCGAGAGGGATAAAGACGGAAAAGGTACATTAAACAGTTTGCTTAAAACTCCTCCTTCCCCCCCCCCCCCCCCCACCAATTCAAACGACACCATCCCGACTGGTTCGTACTAGCTCCTTCCAGGAGAAATATCTTAATATTGGGAAGGGGAAGGGAGGGGGTGGAGGAGAACGGCAGAAGAGGGATATATATCTTTCAACCCCTCCATCCTCCCAGGCACTTTGGGGAGGGTTTGGGGTGAAGGCATTTCACAGTACGCCCAAGACATTTCAATAAAAATTTATTGAAACTTCAGTGACTTTTAAAAGGAGGGGGAAAAAAAATTACAGAAAAAAAAAATAGCAAGAACTTCTCAACATTTATATAACACAAAATATACCTTCATTTTTTTTTTTTCCTTTGAACCAGCTCCGAGCACCTGACTTTCAACCCAAGAAAATATGCACTCACTCAAACAAAGACAACAATAAGCACAGTAGTAAAACTCCATCGCGGGGTTGTTTTGACATACCGAGGAAAGAGGGAAAAATAATAACAAAGTAAAGAAAATCCTAGAATCTTCACCTTTTTTTTTCTCTCAAGCCACTGGAGAAGCCTGTTGTCGTGTTTTAATGTATATTATTATTTTGTTGTTGACATTTTATACGGCAAGCAGTGCTTTGAACACCGAAGAAACTGAGGATTAAAAGTTACCATGGCACGTTGCTTTCTCTTTTTCTCTCTTTGAATTCTTTTAAGGTCTTTGATTAATTTGGTTTCTTTCTGCTTTGCTTTTTTTTGCATTCGGCTCCTTTACAAAAGGACGAGGTCAGGTTTTTCTGGGCTGAGCTCCGCTTTAAAAAAAGGGAGCCCTCAGAAATGGGGGAATTTCTCCTCTGGGTCGGGGTGTATGTTTAAAGGAATTACAAACTTGAAATGAAAACGACTAAAAATGAAAACAGAAGGAAAAAAAAAAAGAAGACAGCTGCAGTCGTATTTACAGAGATATGTACAATGTCAATAAATTAAAGTTTAATTTCGAGTATTCATATTCCACGTATTTACAGGAGTTATCAAATAATTACATAAATACTTTGTTTTAATAATAGTGTCCGCTCTTTTCTTCTTCTCAGTATGTTTAAACCTTGTTATTGCATATACAATTAAAGAGGGAAAGCTGTGATAAACCTACAGTCAAGCTACAGAGGTTTTTAGATAAAATAGATTCACTTTTTTTTTTTCTTTCCAACTACACTTCTTATTTTCGTTGCTACAGGGATGTTTAAGGTAGAGGGGCGAAAGTCTTATTTTTGTTTTTATTATTAATAATTTTTTTCCCTGGGATTTCAAACGAGCATTGAAAATAAACAACAAAACCCCACCGGAATAAAAAAATACCCACCCCCCCCCAAAAAAAAAAAAAAAGCAGACTACTATGGAACATGCAAAAAAAAAAAAAAAGCCACCGACTGGCTCTCGGACATCACAATAATATTTTAAACACACAGCTTCCCTTAATATCGACTAAGGGGGTTGTCGTTAACAACCCGCCCAAGAAACAACTGTTGAAGAACCAATATGCGAGTTACTTACACACTTTTCTTTCGGAAAGAAAAAAAAAATCACTTCTCTTACTTAATTTTTATTCATAAGTCTGTTTGATTTTTTTGTTTCATTTTTTCTTTTAGCTTTTTTTTTTCTCTTTCTTTTTTTTTTTTTCCTGGGTGTTTTGGTTTTTTTTTTTACTCTATTTTAAAAAAAAAAAAAAAAAAAAAAGAAAGGAGGATGCCACAAACCCCACCGGTGCCTCGGCCCGGCCAGGCTGCTCCGACCCAGCACTCCCAGCTCGGCTCTGCTCCCCCATCCCCGACCCCTCTCTTCCCGTTGCTCCACCAGATACCTTTTTGTTGATAAACCGCGGGATTTTATATTAAAAAAAAAAAAAAAAAAAGAGGAAAAAACCCAAAATAAGGAGAGGGTAAAGGAACACTCGCGGGGTGGAGGATGTGGTTTCTTTCAAACAAAGTGCACTGCGAGACTGATTTGAAATGAGCTCCCGGAGGCCCGGGGGGTTACGGGGAGCCGCTGCGGGATCTGTCCTGCTTGGGGTCGAGCCCACTGACGAGGCGCTGGATGTTTTGCAGTTCGCTGGTGGCCGCCTCCTTGTCTGCGCCCAGTTTGGGGGAGAGGGAGACGGAGCCGGAGGAGAGGGTGGAGGAGCGGCTGGTGAGGTCCGAGGCGGAGTCCAGGGGCACGGAGCCGGGGCTGGCGCTCAGCCCCCCCGCCTTGCCCTCGCCGGAGCCGGCGGCCAGGCCGGGCAGGGCGGTGGTGAGGAGGCTGCTGCCGTCGGAGAGGGGCACGGGCAGCGGGTAGGGGCTGTAGCGGAGCCGCGGCCGCACGGCGCTCAGGAAGGGGTGCCGGTGCACCGAGCTGGAGGCGGCGCTGGAGGCGGCGGCCGCCGCCGCCATGTAGGTGTAGGGGTAGGGGAAGAGGCTTCCGAAGGGAGACATGGCCAGGCCCTGCGAGAGGGGAGGAGAGAGAAGGGAAAGAAAGGGTTACCGGCCTGCACACCCACCCCCGGAGATGCTTCGCGGCACCCCCACGGCAGCACCCTCCGCGTCAGTGGGGAGCTGACAGCGGCCAAGCTGCTGCTGCCCACGGGAGGGGATGGAGACCCGTCCTCCCACTGCCGAGGCCAAAACCACGAGGACCCAACGGGGCAGACCCTGCCCATGCTCTGCCCTGCACGGCAACCACCCCGTCGGCCCCCTCTCGCTGCGGGGGCCGTGGCATCTGTCTTCCTCACTGTGAGACTCTCTCTGGGGCAAGTGCTCTGTACCCGCAGGTGTAGCCCCCCCGCCCCGTAGGGCAGCCCAAGACTCATCTTCCCCCCCCCGCGACGGCAGCTCCGCTCCGCAGGCTCCAACGAGCCCCACACCGCGGAGCTGCGCCCCCGGCGGGGGCAGGGGATGCAGAGGCCTGGCCCCGGCACAGTGGCACAGGGAGCACAGGAGTGGGACGACCGCGGGGAGGGTGGGAGAGCTCCGGGAGATCGAGCTGGGCCGGCCCCCACCCCCTCCCGACTTTCCCTCCTCCGACTTTCCCCCAAACGCTGTGACTGCCCCTGCAGAGAGAGGCAGCGGAGGCACTTCGCCCACAGCGGGGAAGCTAAAGGAGGTGCCCGCTGTCCCTCTGTTCCCCCGGGGTTGAAACCCTCCTGCTCCGGGGGGGCGGCGGGGGGAGGCTGCGGTACCTGCGAAGCCAGGACGTGCTGCTGCAGATGGAAAGGCAAAGCAGCCGCCGATGCTCCCGAGAGTCCCTGGGCCGCCGCCGTGGCCATGACCGTGTTGTCCAGTCCCGAGACCCCGGCGGATGCCCCGGAGACGGTGGCGAGGAGGGGCCCCATCCCCGCGGCCATGCCGGAGAAAGCCCCCCCCATGGCGAACTGCCCGGGGTGCAGCAGCAGCGGGTGCCCGTTCCCCAGCGGGTTGAAGAACTGCTGGCCGGCCAGGGCAGGGGGGAAGCCGAGGTTCTGCAAGTGTCCCTGGCTCAGGTGGGCCGTGCTGTCGGTCTGGACCGTCAGGGGGGCGAAGGGTTCTTTCCCCAGCAGCCTGTTCTCATCTACTTTGGGGCCATCCCTGAGGGGGCTTTTCAGTTCCTCGCCGCTCAGGCTTCCCCCCCGGGTGCTGGAAGAGATCGCAGCCGGGCTGTGCCTGGAGTCCGGAGGGGCTTTCTCAGTCCTCTCTCGGCTCCTACTCCCCGCCGAGTCCCCGGGGAAGAAGTGGCTTTTGGAGGGGCTGCCCCCCTTCTCCCGGGGGTCGTCCCCCGCGGTGGCAGCGGAGCTGGCCGGCGCTGGGGTGCCGGCGGTGGTCGTGCTGATTTTGCCCGACTCGTTGCCTTCTAGCAAGGGATCGTCTTTGCTGTCTGCATCGCTGTCTCCCTCGCTGGGGCAGAGATCTGCAAGACAAAGGGGGCCCGGGGCTGGGATCCGGCACTGCACATCCCGAAATCCCCATCGGGCTGCCAAAGAGGGCAGAGACGCTTCCTGGCTGGCCAGAGGTTTGGATGGAAATACTATTTTTTTATTATTATTATTACATAAATAAATACAGCCCCCGGCTCCCACCGCCCGCCCCGAACGAGCCAGCCCGAGTTTTACACAACGCAGCAAAATTGGCTGCGAAACAAAGCGATGGCCCGGAGGAGAGACCCTCCAGTCGGGCGGGCCCGGGGCCAGCGGCTCCGCTCCCCGGGGCTGCTCGGAGCCCCCCGAGACCGCCCAGGGACCCCCCACCGGCCGCAGCAAAGGCAGCAGAGCGGTGGGACAGCAGTGGCTGGGCTTGAAGGGCCTTGGGGATGTACCTCCTACGAAGTTTTACAAAGTTTTCATCCCTTTCAAAGGGCAAACTTTGGAAACGCAGAGAGAGACCGACCTCCCACTCGCCTTCATCACCCCTTGGACCCCCCTTCTCCTCCTCCCCAAACGCATGCACGGCTCCAATGGATTCCTCTGCACTTCATCTCCTAATTTCAGCGCCCCAGGTGCGAAGCTCTGGTTTGCTTTTTGGGTCCCCTCCCAGCTCCCCTCCCCTCAGCTCGGCAGCCCTTTAAAAAAACGAGTAGAGCAACTACAAAAAAGAGGTTGTTTCCTCCTCCCCCTGCACCCTCCTCCCTGCCCCTGGATGGATTAATACATGTGAGAGAGCTGCAGACAGCTCCCAACCCTGCACGGAGAGAAACCCAGGGTGACTTTTCTATAACAAAGTTCGGGACTGTATCCAGGGGAAAGATCCTTCCTCTAATAACAGATTCAGAGAGGAATATTAATGGAGTGACTCCAGTTTTGAACTTTTGCCCCGTGGTCTGTCTTTGCTCCCTTGACTCGGAGCCGGCTCCTTTCTGAACCGAGGAGGGGAGGGATGAGTGTGCAGCAAGGAGAGAGGGAGAAGGAGAGGAAGACAGAGAGGGAATGAGGAAAGAAGAGGAGGGAAGGGGAAAAAGAAAGAGAATGAAAGCAAGAAGGAGAGTGAGGGAAAGAAAGAAGAAGCAACAAACGAAAGAGAGAAGAGAGAGGGAAGAGTACAAAGAGAAAAAATATGAAAAAAGAAGTAAAGAGGAAGGCAGGCCAGGGGGAAGGAAGGAAGACAGGCCAGTGCCAGAGGGCAGTGGTAGCAGCTGGGATGTGTCACCCCACAGAGCAGGCTCTCCTGGGTGGGGTCCAGGGGCCACAGCTCTCACCTTTGAGGCTGGAGGTGCCAACGGCGGGCACGGCAGGACAGGAGGACTGGGCAAAGCACTTGAAGGCCGTCTGCTCGTTGGACGACTCGTCCGAGGTGGGGTTCTCCTTCTTCTGCCTCTCGTCGTACACCCGCATGGACTGCAGGGTCAGCTGCTTCCTGCGGGCACACGAACCCGCTGGCAGAGCGCACCCCGGCACCCCCCTCCTTCCCCAGCCCCTTCCTCAGCTCCTGCTTTTGGGATGAGTGGGACAGGGGAATTAAGGGCCATGGTCCCCCTCGAGGAGGAGAGCGTGTTTCTGGCAGGCAGGGCTTGGCTGCTAACGAGAGGACATTTCTTGGAAGCGGTGAGCGGCTCCTCGGCGAGGGCAGATATTAAAGACAAGGGGCGGAGGGGAGAGGGAAGCATTCCCTGGAGATTAGCTTTTATAACCGAGGATGTTCCAGAGATATGAGCCATCCTAATGGTTGCTAAGATTGCTAGGAAGTGGTTATTTTGTTAGGCACTTTATGTAATCTTTTCACCAACAATTAACCCGGAGTAAAAACCTATTTATATTTAGAAAGAAATTAGAAATCATTTCCGTCCTGTGGCTCCAGCGCTGGCTTTATTTTCACACTGACGGACAAGAGGAGCTGGCGTGTGCATGTTTGTGTGTGTGTGCTGGGCTCAGTGCTGGGCAGGGAGAAAGGCCCCTTGTTTTACATTACATCCCCCTCCCTTCTTTTTTTTCTTTTTTTTTTTTTTTGTTTAAAAAAAAAGAGGAACAGACAGATTTGTTCATTATCTAAACCCCAGTGCAAATGGCTAAAATATCCTGTCTGCTGTAACAAAACAAAACAGACATATCCCTCATCAAAGGAAAAAAAAATTGTCCCTTTCTCTATTTTCTCCTTGTATTTTCTTCTTATGTTAAAAATAAAAATCTTTGCTCCCATTATAACGAGTTCTGTCCATCTACTTGGGACACAAACTGTGTCCTGCTGCTTTGGGAAAAAATAAACGATCTTCTATCATTATTACTTCCATATTCACGAGATACCTCTGTCAAAGCAGTTTATTTATATGTTTCTCCTCCACATTTTAGTCTTTTAGATACAACCCCCAGAAAAACGCCAGAGGAGATTGAACCAGCGCTCAGCCCTCACTTCTCCCTCTTCTCCAGTCCCAGATACAAACTACACTGGAACATTCCCTCTCAGATTTTTAAGGGAAAACTTCTTTCTCCTGTGATATTTGCTTAATGTACTGCATTCCCTTTGGCCAGTCATCCCCTGCAACGTGAAAAATAGATGTGGAAAGTGGGAAAGAACTCCCATGCAATCCGTTTGGGGTTATTAACGCCAAGATCCTTATGGATTTTGGCGGGGGGGAAGTGTGGTTTGGAGGCAAGTCGAGGTGATTTTGACCTCTGCTCATGTTCTGAGCTTTACACATGAAAACCAAACGAGGTGCCTGCACATAATCGAGCCAGACTTACCTTTTTTCCCTCCTTCCATTCCCGGTGTCCCGAAAACCTTTGGCAAAGGGGTTGTTGTCGATTTTTAATTGAGTGATCTAGAGTGTGGAGAGAAAAAAAATAGGCGGGGGGGGCAGAATAAGGGGATTTTCACATTAAAAAACAACAGCAAAACCTCCTTCTCCCAGTTCCCCCAGCGCTGGTAGGATCCCGTCAGGAGCAGGACAGGGCAAGGGGCAAAGGTCCCTGTTTTTGGGGGGAATCTCTGTGTTTTCCCGGGTCATTTGGAGGCAGCTCAGCCCCAATCCCCCGCCGGGCTGGCCAGTGACCCGGGCTGGGGTGGCAATGAAAGAGCCCCGTGTTGCTGCCACCACATCGGAATTAATTGAGCCGTGCAATGCGATCCATGCAAGTTATGCCTGGTGCTTAAAACTCTTTAAATGCCATAATTAAACCGCAAAGGAATCACACCCACCCCCTCGCTATAATAAAATACTTTATATAATCGCATTATGCTCTGTGTGTGTGTGTGTGTGTGTGTGTGTGTGTTGGGGCACCGGGGGTGCCAGGAGCCAGTTCGTATTTTTTGGGGGGGCAGGTGGGAGTTTTTTGGTTTGAGTTTCCTCGGGATGCACGTTTTGCAGGGAATGGCTGCTTGGAGCGCTGGGGGTGCGGGGCATCCCGTAAGTCCCTCCGTGGAGGTGGATTCAGAGCCTGGCCGGGGGCTCCCCTCACTGTAACGGGATGTGGGCGATGGGAACGGGGATGCCGCCTCCCCGTCGCTCCATTCCCGGTCTTGGACCGGGCTGGAAGCGCGGCAACCCCCAATTTAGGAGCAGAGGAGGACCACGACAAGGAAACTCCGCCCGCGTCCGAGTGCGGGCAGGACCAGCCCCGGCTCCCGAGTCGCCCCCCCCCTTCCCGCCCCGCCGCACACACGGGATGAGGAAAGAGCAGGAAAACCCACTGCTAAAAACCAGCGGGACTTTTAATCCAGGTGCTCCCGGCCGTGCCTTCTGCTCCCCCCCGCGCCGAGCCCAGGGCTCCCCGCCGCTCCCGCACGCCGCTTTCCAGCCGATTTCATGGCAATCAGACAAATATGCTCATTTCTGTCCTTCAACCAAGCCGGCCCCAGCTGATAGAGCGGGGCGACCAGCCCTGCTGATAAGTCCCAAAGCAAAGTCTACTCTCTGTACACTCATTTTCTTTGAGTTTCCTTGCAAGCGCCGGGCCGCAGAAAGAGAGGGAAACAGCCCGAGCTCCGAGGGGGAAGCGGCTTTTTTGGAAACCGAGGGCAGAAAGGTGCAGATCCCCCCTCTTCAGCCCTTAATTTTTAGTGGTGAAGGATGCGAGGGGCAGAAAGAGAGACGCGAGGAAGCTGCAGCGAGCGGGCGCTGCGCATCCAGACCTTCCACACTTAACGAACTCAAAGTTATAATTTATAGACAAAAAAACCCCACCAACCAAAAAAAAAACCCCAAAATCAAAGCCTCTTTTCTGGCTCCTTCGCTTCCTTCCACTTGACTTAATTATCGTAAATTCGCCATTTGCCACTCTCCCGAATATACCACCTTGGTCGCAAGCGACAATAAACCAGAAGAAATGGAAAGGCAGCGTCTGCAGCGCTGCAAAACTTTCTCACCCGGGCTCTTTCAGACCTTCCAGCTAAATTCAAGTGAGATACCCCTCTCTGATCAGAGCATATTTCTGCACCACAAAAAATAATAAAACACTGCAGGATGCAAAAAAAAAAAATATCATAGTAATAATAGGAACCAGACGTGTGCTCCAGCCTTATTGCCAATTGCTGTTAAAGGAGCTAAAACGGCACAAAGGCCAGGAAGAATTACAAAATCTCAGCCCCGCTGCTCTCCCCCCTCTGTCTTTCGACACACGGAGCAGAGTCTTTCTTATTTTTTTTTCCTGATGCATCTTAGATTAAATCCACACCGAGAGCAGCGATCCCCACCCCATCCCTTTCCCCATAGTGAGGAGCGATACCGGGAAAAGAAAATGGTAAAAAAACCCCTAAGCATTCTTCCCCTCACCCCCAGTCCTCGCTTTTAATTGCCTTCCCCGAGGTCGGTATTAGGAGAGTGCCCGACCCCCTCCCCCGGCGCCTTCCCGAAGTTGGATCTAGGAGGTTTTGGGGGGAAAGATGAGGAGGGGAGAGAGAGAAGAACGGGATGGGCTTCGTGATTTTTAAGGGAACAGTGCGGAGCAAAAGTTCTCTTAAAAGCCAAAACACGTAAAACAAATCCTCTCCTAATCTCCTTACCTTATCATTCTGGTATGCGGTCACTGCGATGAATTCAGTCTCCGGGAAAACGTAGGTCCTGAACGTGCTGTAGGGAAGCTTGAGGATATCGTTGGCTCGGACGATGTGGAACCGGGGCTGGTACTTGTGCATGGAGTTTAAAATGGTCTAGGGGGGGGCAGCGGCCGCAGCAGAGAGGGCAGGAGGGGGGGAAAGAAAACGGTCAGCAGGAGCAGCACCCCCGCCTCGCACTTCCCCCAGCCATCGGCACTTTCTCCTCCTAATTTGCCTTCCCTCTCCTTCCTCCCCTCACTCCTCCTCCCCGCCGAGCACACTCCAAACACGCACACGCCTTGCAGCATCCAACTAAAAGTACTGACAGCTCCAGCTCGCCGGAGTTAGGCTCTCGCTGGACCTTCTCGGAGGGAAGGAGGGAAGGGGGGGAATCCCATCGGAGCTGTTGGGAAGAAGCTGTTGGGCTCCGGCCGCAATGTCTTTTGATTTCGAAGTGTAAAAAAATAAAGAATAATAAAAATAAAATCGACTAAAGAAGCAGCAGCAGCAGCTACAATAGCAACACCACCACGAGAGCCTCGGCTCGGTCTAATTGCGTGCCCCAATTCACTTAAGGCCTTCTGCGAAAGGCAAAAATGTATCGTCTAATCAAATCACAGGCAGCAAATGCAATCTTCGGCACATTAGAAATCCCCCGGCCGCGGCCACCAGCAGCAAGCCCCGGCTCCGAGGCGGAGGCTTTCCCAGGAACAGAAAGAAATGGCAAGGATCGTTCAGAGCACTTATCAGCAGGTTTGTTTGATTTCACTCTTAGGGTAAGTTTTTATCTCTGCACACCCGGTAAATGTAAAGGAGTGGATAGACATGAATGGGCAACTTGACCTCTGCTTTTGGTCCCTGTTTATTTTCACTCCTGCTTGCTTTACATTATCCAGATTAATATAGATTTAAAGGTTTGCGTACTTAGGCCTTTAAGCCCTTTATACACATATGCATATCGTTTTCCTACGCTTAAAAAGTGTGATCGACTTTATTAAAAATATATATAGATATATAAAGTCACCGCAGCCCCGAAAAAATATCGAGTTGCTCTACGCTGGAAATACACCTCTAAAGTTAACGCTGAGGGGCACGGAGAGGTTACAGAGTAAAACTCCAGCGCTTAATCCTGACCTCAGCAGGGGGAAAAATCAAGGGCTATCATAAACCGGAGAGATGCTCGTCCCCGTGGGCGCGGAGGGGTATTTATTCCCTGTTTTCCCCGCATTTCGGGAGCCCGCGAGAGCTGCCAGCGGGGCTGCGGGGACGGCCCGGCCGAGCAGTCGCCGTGCTCCGGGTGGATCCCCCCGCGCTGGGACCCCCCAGCTCCGGCCGGGTTGGAGAGGGAGGGAACGTGGGGAAGGGGGGAGGCAAAGGAAGGTGTAAAAGGCACTCACAAATCCGTGCTTGTCAGAGATGTTGTTAGTGAGCTTCAGCTTGTGAAAGGTGACGACTTTGGACATCCATTGTTCGCCGGTGGCCGGGCTGTCCGGGTGGATGTACATTCTCTTTGGCATTTCAGGGTCAGCTTTGCCGGCTACCATCCACCGGGAATTATGGAATTTGTACCTACAATCATCAGCCGCCACAATATCCATCAATAAAATGTACTTGGCCTTTTTATCCAGTCCAGTGCATCTCACTTTAAATGGAGGAAACATTCTCCTATGAGCAGGGAGGGGGGGGGGGGGGGGGGGAGAAAAAAAAGACATGATGAAAATAAAATTAATTACAGCGTTTAAATAAGCTTCTGAATGTCGGTAGTGTGTCTACCAAACAATCGCTTCGACTCTCAAAAGTAGAAAAGTAAGCGTGTGTCCTGCAAAAAGGCTTCCCCCCCCCCCATCCCCAGCCGAAAGGCTTCTCAAACGCTGAAAAGTTTCAGGAGAAAATGGTCCCTGGATGGGAGAGGTACGCGTTCCCTAGAAATCAGCAGGCGCCTACCTCTGCCATTCCTAAACACCACAGGCCCATTTTGGGCTCTCTGATGTCTCATTAGTTTCCTTTTCGCCTGCTAAACAAAGAAATGGGAACAGATCGCACCCCGGTAGAATAAATATTCTGCATTATTATAACCCAGTCACACGATGAAGACCAGGGAGGGGAGTTTTTCACTTTGCAGAGGAGAAAAAAAGCCCCAGCGAGGGCAGGGAGGCTGCCGGGGCTCTCTCCCCGTGCTCCAGCCTCCCGGAGATCCCCCCCGTGTGCCGAGGGCTCCCTGCAAACCCCGCTCCCCTCCACTCCCAAGTCCGGCTCCAAACTGCAACAGGATACCACAAATTTGCTGTTTATTATATCGAGCGGTTGGCATTCAGCAAATCTCAACTTAAAAGGAAACACATGACTTTGCAACACGTAAGAGCCCTTAATACCGGCCGAGGCTTTCACGCAAAAACTTTTGACCACAATTAACAGAGAAAACTTCGGGAAAGCAGTAAAATGGGCGAGGGGAATTTTTTTTCCCCTCCTTGCTGCTTTTAGGGCTTGTATTTATTTTTTTTTCCCTGAGCCTGTAGCCTGCAACTGGTGCTTTGCAAGTAGGTGAAGCTCCTGCTAAGGCAGCTGAAGGCCATCTAAGAAGACTTTTCAGGAGTGGCTTCCTCGAGTAATTCTCCTGGCAAATCACACGCGGAGACTTGGGGAGGTTTCTCAGAGAGCCCCTTAGAAAAACACCCGGGCGCGAAGGGGGTTTTCAGCCTATGTGTCATCACAGCAATAGGCAGAGTTGTAAAAGAGCCCAGATGTCAATGAGTAGCGAATATAGAGAGGGATTTCAGACGGGTAAACCTATAAAAAGCAGAAATGCCGAGCGTGGACGCGCCGTGTGTATTCATTCATTCCCACGTGAAGGTTATATAAATACAGGGACAGGCAGCGCGGAGCTGCAAACCCTTCCCTGCCACTCCAGCAGCGGCTGCAGGACCGCTGGGGAGTTCTGTCAGCTTTTTGTGCATTTCCAGATATAATTAGTCACCACAAACGCCGCCTAAATCCGTGCACTGAGAGAGGCACAAGCTGATATACCGAGCCTGTCTGCCCTCCTGCAGCTCCCGCCCCACCAGCAGCCACACGCCGCTCCAAAGCATTTTTCCTTTATTCCCCTTTCTCTTTCTTATGGAAGAAAAACTGCGTGCAGCCAGGCTGAAAGCAGGCCAGCCCCTTTTCCAACCCCAAATTATTTTCTTCCTGCTCCCAGTCTTCTCCAGAAAGTATTAAGCTACTGAACCATGAAGGGACCCTCTCGCCCCCTGCACACGCTGAGCAGGGCCGGGTCGTGGCTGGGCTTTTTCCCTGCAGCGTGGTGCCCCAGATGGGCTCGGATCTTCAGCTGCCTAGCACTTTCCATAATTCCAGGTGAAAGGAGATTTACGGAGAAGGCCGCCGGAGAGAAAGCCTTGCTCTGGAGCAGCCCGGTGGGGTGCAGAGGCTGGAGGGGTGGGGGAGAGGGGGAGGAAAAACAGGCACGAACCCCCGACCCAGACCTACCTTCCCGATTTGGTAATCACCATCTCCGTGCCTCTTTTATGGAACTGCTCCCAAAGCTCTTTAGCTTCCAGATGCACTTTCGGATCGTCTTCCACCTCTTCTTCTGGCTCCAGAGTTTTTAAAGGCCTCAGATGGGCTGCTGCCTGGTGACCCAGGGAAGAAAAGGGGATACCAGTCTCTGCAGCCCCCACTAACTGATCCATGATGGGTTTAGCCAGAGCCCCGGGAAGGGAAAGGGCGGCTGCCCCATTGGGAGGCAAAGCCAGAGCCGGGAAAAAGGGAGGCTGATGTCCCAGCACAGCGCTCATGGCAAAGTCCGGTGCCCGGTGCGGTAAAAAAGGATGATAAGCCATGCTTGTCCCAGGGATTACTGGATCTCTCATCGGTAAATTCATCCACTCCACTCCTCGGTCTTCCTACTGCTGGAGTAGTCCCGGAGTGGTTTCTAACAGCACATCACGAAGAAGAAAAATTAAGATAATAACAACAACAGCAATAAAGCACTAAAAAAATGATAATTAAAAAAATAATAGGGTGGGGTAAAGAAGCTCTAGACAGCACAGTACATGGGGGACAGGCAGAACTTCTACAGCCTACAACTTCCCGAGCCGGGGCACATCCCCAGCCCTCGAGACAGCGGATTAACAGGATTGTTCATTATTAGTCTTGCTTTTTTTCGTGTTCGGTCTCTGAGGTTTTGTTTTGCTTTTTAGTTGACCGGGGTTTTTTTCCTGAGTGGAAGTCCTTGCGCTGGAAAAGGAACGCCGAAGAAGGGAGGAAAAAAAAATAAAAATCCACCGGGTTCGCTGTCTGCTCCTGTTGCCGCAGAAGGGCTGGACAAGCCGAGATCCTTTTTTTCCTTCTTCTTTTTTTCTCTTAGTCCCAATCCCCTTTCTCTCCTTCCGTGGCGGAGGGTGACGGCTCGAAGCTGGGTTTTCTTTTTGGGTGGCTGGCTCTGCCCCCCCTCCCCCCCACCCCTCCACCTTTCCTCCGTACGGTCAGGCTGCAGAGCAGAGGCTGGGAAAGGAGGGAAAGCAGAAAGAAGCAAACAAACCCACCCCCCCTCGCCGGCCGAGAAAGGTTCCTGAGCAACCTTCAGCAGCAAAAACTTGTAGGGAAATCTCGTTTCCGCCTCGCCTTTCCCCCTCTCCAAGCAGGAGCTGGTCAGGGTGCCCTGATTCCCATCAGGATCTCTTCTTTCTTTCACCCTCCTCCTTTTTTTTTTTTTTTAAATTTTCCCCCCTCTCTTTCTCTTTCGCTCTGCCTTAAAAAAAAAAAATAATCTGGCAGAATTATACTGTTGTCTCTGCAAAAGAGAAAGGGAGAAAGAGAGAGGGAAAGAGAAAGGAAAAGAAAAAGGGGGGAAGGGAGAAAGAGAGAAAAAGAGAAAGAGAGAGAGAGAGGGAGAAGGAGCCTCTCGGCTCTGAGAATTCCCTGTGAGTCTGTGCTCTGCGTGCACCCGATCGTAGGGATGTGTTGTGGGTTACAGGGGAGCTGGAGCCGCCTTGATTGGCTCTTTGACGCTTTCGGACCAATTGTGAGGCTCCATAGGCGGGGTTCTGACAGCTCGGGTGGAGGGGGACAGCGCCGAGTTATAAAAAGAAGGTGTCGGAAACTGTAACGCTGCAGCAAAGCATCACTAGTACTCCGGGCCGTGTGAATATGTCAACATGATCAGAGGGGAGGGAGCAGGGAGGGAGGAGGGAAGGGGCCGGCAGCGCCCGCCTCTAGGGGGGTACTGGGGGCCGCCTCGCCCCCCCGGCCCCGGCCTCCCGGGCAGTGCCCGCCCGCTCTCCCCCGGTAGGAGCTTCCAAAGCGCCGGGACCGGGGGGGGGGGCTCCACGCTTGGCGCTGGGGTCCGAACCTGCGAGCCCCTCCCTCCCCAAACGCCGCTGGTATCGTAACGGGGGGCACCCCGACTGTCCCCCCCCGCCCCGGACCCACCTCGGGAGGCCGCGGGCCCCGCCGCCCCGCACGCCCATCCCCGCAGCCGCCGGGTTGGTGTCACCCTCCCTGCCGCTCCCCCGCTCCGTTTTCCACCCCCCCCTTCCCTCTCCGCTCCACCGCGAAAGTCGCTTTCTTTAAACGACCCCTCCGCGCCGGCAGCCGGGCGCTTTCCTTCCCCCCGCAAACCTGGGGGTGACCCCCGGGAGGTGGAGGGGCTCTGCGGGGGGGGGCTCTGCGGGTCTCCCCCCGGCTCGGGGCTGGGCTCCGGCGGCTCCAGCGGCCGCGGCCGCCGCTATTATTGTTGTGGTGGGCGGCTGGAGGCTGCGGCGGGCGGGCAGCGGCCGCTGCCGGCTCAGCCCCGGACCCGGCGGCTGCAGATCGCGGCGGGGGCTTGGGAAGGGAAGAGAGGCGACGGCGACGGCTGGAAAATGGGATTTTTATTTATTTATTAGTCCCTTTTTTTCCTTTCTCCGGCTCTGAGGATTAAGGCCACTCGGCTGGCACTGGCGCCGAGAGGGTTACGCTCCCACACCCCTCCTCTTCCACGAGGTGCGCGGGGAGGAGACGGGAAGTGCGGCTTTCCCTGCGCCCGGGCCGGGGCAGCGCCGGGCGGGGGGGCCCAGCCCCGGGTTCCCCCCGTGCCCGGGCTCGCGTGGAGCCAAAGACCCCTCGTGGGGAGAGCGTCACCCGCGGGTCCGATCCGACCCCGCGGAGAGGGAAGAGCTGGGCAGGATCCTCCTGGGAAGTTTCTGGGGAGACATATTCCTTGGTGGGGGGGGGGGTGTGACAGTACAGGGAAGCGAAAGGGGGCTTGCGGCTGTGCGCGTCGTGGGGGCCGTGGGCATGCAGGGCACGGAGCGCCCACGCGTGTGTCAGGGGGGATATCCCCCCGCTGGGAGGTGCCGGATCATTACTCTCCCCTGGGGAGGGGGGGAAAATCTCCTGACGCCCCCCACCCTGTCTTAGAGAGGGGAGGATAATCCTCCGGGAGCGGAGCGGGGGAGCGCGGGGGCTCGGCGCTGGCTGCGCGCAGATGGGAGCGGAACCTCTAAAGTGATTAGCTCTTCTAACATTGCATTTTTGACGCACATGGTTAAGAGCGCTTGGCGCCAGCTTGGTGAAGTCCCTGTAGTAACCAGCGTCTAGGATCGCTTTGCATTCACCAAAATATCTCCCCTTTGGTCGGGGGTGGGGGTGAAGAGAGGAGGAGGGAGGAAAGGAAGCGGGAGTAATGCGTTCAGAGAGGATATGGGGGGGGGAAGTCTGCTGTGTTTCACGGAGCCAGGAGCCCGGCTACCCGCGCAGCGCTCGGCTGCGCTGTGCAGCCGCTTATCGACGGAACAGAGCGAGCCTTTCCAACCTCTGCTCGGAACCGGTTCTCGGGCTCCCGCCGCGGTGGGAACCCCCAAACCCTCACGCCTTCCCCTTTAGCAGCGCCCACAACAAACGCCCGGCGGCACCAAGAAGTTTTCCGCGATTTACCCCAAGCGGGGCCGCCGCTCTCTCGCGGGGACCGGGAGGTGCCCGCGGGCTCCCGCGGGACAAGCGCAGCCGCCCCCGGCCCCGCCGGGCCCCGCGCCCCACGCCCGCCCCGCCGGAGCTCGCCCTCGGCGCCGCGGCACCGACCGGAGTCGCCGCCGCCCTCCGCGCCCGCCCCGCACCTTGCGCCGCGCTCCGCACCCACCCGCGGAGCGAAATAAAACGTTTTGCCGCTTATGATTTCCAATTCCAGCGTCTGCCTAATGGCGTGCAAACTTCCGCCAGTTCCGAGTGACCTCCCCGACGAAGCCCCCCGGAGACTCGTATTATGAAGGGAGGCTGCACTAATCTAAGATCAAAAGCGGGAAGGTGCGAACAGTCTTTGTCTCCCTTCGGCCGCCTCATTCCCCCTTCTGTGTGTGATAAATCTACCCTGGCGCCGACTGCGCGCTGGATGATTAATTTGCAAGCAAACAAAAGGGACCTGATGGCCAGCCATCTTAGTTAAATATTGGCCAGTGCTTCCAGCTACTTGTTAGCCGCCTCTTTGCCAGAAATAAATAAATAAATAAGCGAGGCGGAGAAATAAATAAATAAATGAGGAAGCCCGCAGAAATGAATGGCAAAGCGAAGGGGTGGAAGTGGGGTAAGGGAAAAAAATTAAAAAGTAAAAAAAAAACAATAAAAAAAAAAAAAAGAGATAAGGGTGGCCGATGGCGAAGTGCCGGGAGCGGGGTGGAGGTGGGAATGGGGCTGGTGGCGGGGGGAGGCAGGGTGATAGCACGCTGAGATAGCCGGCTGCCCCCGCGCCTCCCGGCCCGTCTGCAGCCTGGGCTTGCACCAAGGCCGACACTATCTTGGCTCTTCAAAGAGGCATGAAAGGTCTCCGCTGTCTCCCCGGAGAGCGGCCAGGCCGGGGCTCTCTAATCTCGGAGCACAAGAGCTGAAGGCCAGGGCGGGGGGGGAGCGGCTCCCATCTCTCCCAAGTCTTCCCTGCTCCACCATCGCCAGCACCTCACTGGGTTTTCCCTGGTTCAATCCAGACCCTTTGGTGGCTGAGCGGCTGGGAGAGCCCTGCTTCCTCGGATTTCACCCTCCTAAGCAACTTTTAGCGTTCGCACGAGAGCTCGGGGCTGCAGCGAGCCTGCCCCGCGCGTATGTGTTGGAGGTGTGGGAGGAGAGAGGCTCTGGCTCTCTCCCGGTGGCCTGAAGAGCCAGCTGGAGGAAGGAGGCAAGAGGAAAATAAAGGCAGCCCAGCTTTCGGGCCCACACGTCTTCTCCCAGGCCTGCGGGAGCAGCTCCCAGGCGTGTGTGCGTGAGTGGAGGGCTCGTGTGAGAGCTGCACGGCCTCGGCGTGCCTGCGTGGGGATGCTGTGTGGGTGTGTGCCACCGGGAGGGATCCGTGCCCCGGGGCACACGGCAAATCCTTGCTCCGACAGCAAAACCCGAGGTGTCCCTAACACCCCCTGCGTGTGCTGGGTGCTCGTGGGTGCTCTGCAGGAAAGAACAAGCCCTGGTGGTGCGCGGCGAGCGGGGGGCCAACAACGTGCACAACCTAAGCGGGGTTTTGCATCCTATCTATGCCGTTTCCTTATCGCGCTGCCGCTTCCAAGCATCCCCAGGGGGCCCAGACCCATCCTGCCTGCCGGCAGCTCCGCACCCTGCACGATTCATCGCCCTCCTCCCTCCTTTTCCCCCGGCGACGGAGCCTCCACTCCTGTCTCCAGCCCTTCGGAAGGCAACACCCCACCGTGGCCGCGCTGTGTTTATCCGAAATAAAAGGCAGCGGGGCTGGTTTACTTTGGCAGGTTTGCAGTAAATACCGGCTGGAGCGCGGGGGGTGTCTGATGAGCGGCAGAGACACGCTTCTTCCCAGGGAAACTCTTCCCAGCCCTGTGCAGGCCCTTCCCCAGCCCCACAGAAGGTGTCAGCAAACGGGGGCCATGTTGACACAGCTCCATCCCAGAGTGGCACTGCAGGCCACAAGTGGAACGAAGCAGGTCCCTTAGGGAGCAAGTCTATGTACTTGTATTATATAAACTGCTAGGGGGAGGGGGGAGGATCATTACAGCACCTCTTTGCCTTTCCCTTTGGCAGAGCCCTTCCTCCAATTGCCAGTTGGATTTCATGGAAAGTCTGGCCCGACAACTTTGAAAAATAACCTGCCAGCATCCAAAAAAAGTGTTGTGAGGCATTATAAATAGCAAAAAGAGAAAAAACCATGTCTGCCTCCGGGCAGGCTTGACCCCATCGTGTCCCACCACAATCGAAGGGGCTGTTCCCATCTCTCTGAACAGAAGTAGAGGGGGGAGACAGGAAGATCAGGTGCCCTTCCAACATAGCCAACAGGGCTTTGCAGGACTGGGGGCAGCCCAGAGACAGTGTTATATGTGCTTTATTGGAACACTGGGGAATGAAAGAGGAAAGCAGCAGTTAGAGAGGCTTCTCCTCCTCCACGGCTCCCTGGGATGCAATCCTCTGGGAAAGGCTGCTGGTGGCCCAGCCCGGTGGGAGCAGTGCAGCACTGACTGTGGCAGAGCCGTCCCCCAGCACGGGGTCACCAGCACGCCGACAGTGAGCAACCCTTCCCTGCCTCTGCCGGGAACAGCCCACAACTCCTCGCTCCTCCTGAGCCCCCAGGGCCTGGTCCCGGATCCTGCCAGGTGTTGGCTCTGGTGGGAGCCCAACCATCAGGGCTCTGGGATTATGATGACAAACACCAATTGTGCTCAGATCGCTCAGGTTCCTCCCTTCCCCACAAGACCTGTGTTCACCTTGTCCCTGTCCCCAGCTGCTCTGACAGTCTCCAGTTGCCTCCACTTTGCCATGGACTAAAAAAGAAAATAAAGGAGCCCCCAGAGCTGCCTACTGCAGCTCTCCCCTCTGCCACCAGCCAGGCCCGGCCTTGCCGACCAGGGCATGTCAGGGCACAGCAACATTTGGGGCCGGACCTCTTCTCTCCCCAGCTCACATCCCTTTTACCTTTTCAGAGCCGTTTTTGCAACACTGAGTTTCCCCTCACCACAAACCAGCACCCACTGCACACGCGGCCCCGGCGGCCCTTTCCACCCCCCTGGGCTTGTTCTTCTCACCACTGTGTTGCTGGCAGAGGCAAAATGAAAGCCCTGATCCTTCCCTCGCCCTCTCTACACCCCTCCTCCTGCTTCCACCACCGTTGGCCAAGCAGAAATTGTAAATAGAGTTCACTATTTGGATAAGGGTTTTTTGTTTTTTTTTTTTAAGTACCCGGGCCATACAT